GGCGCCAGAAAAGAGTCTTGATGACCCACAAGTATAGGTGATCTATCGTAGTCCTTTCGATAAGTAAGAGTGTCGAACCCAACGAGGAGCAGAAGGAAATGACAAGCGGTTTTCAGTAAGGTATTCTCTGCAAGCACTGAAATTGTAGGTAACAGATAGTTTTGTGATAGGATAATTTGTAACGGGTAACAAGCAATGAAAGTAAATAAGGTGCAACAAGGTGGCCTAATCCTTTTTTTAGCAAAGGACAAGCCTGGACAAATTCTTATAATGAGAAAAGCGCTCCCGAGGACACATGGGAATTATCGTCAAGCTAGTTTTCATCACGCTCATATCATTCACGTTCATTACTTTGATAATTTGATATGTGGGTGGACATGTGCTTGGGCACTGTCCTTTCTTGGACAAGCATCCCACTTATGATTAACCCCTATTGCAAGCATCCGCAACTACAAAAGAAGTATTAAGGTAAACCTAACCATAGCATGAAACTAGTGGATCCAAATCAGCCCCTTACGAAGCAACGCATAAACTAGGGTTTAAGCTTTTGTCACTCTAGCAACCCATCATCTACTTATTACTTCCCAATGCCTTCCTCTAGGCCCAAATAATGGTGAAGTGTCATGTAGTCGACGTTCACATAACACCACTAGAGGATAGACAACATACATCTCATCAAAATATCGAATGAATACCAAATTCACATGACTACTAATAGCAAGACTTCACCCATGTCCTCAGGAACAAATGTAACTACTCACAAAGCATATTCATGTTCATAATCAGAGGGGTATTAATATGCATTAAGGATCTGAACATATGATCTTCCACAAAATAAACCAACTAGCATCAACTACAAGGAGTAATCAACACTACTAGCAACCCACATGTACCAATCTGAGGTTTGGGGTACAAAGATTGGATACAAGAGATGAACTAGGGTTTGAGAGGAGATGGTGATGGTGAAGATGTTGATGGAGATTGACCCCCTCCCGATGAGAGGATCGTTGGTGATGACGATGGTGATGATTTCCCTCTCCCGGAGGGAAGTTTCCCCGACAGAACAGCTTCGCGAGAGCCCTAGACTAGTTCCGCCAAGGCTCCGCCTCGTGGCGGCGGAGTTTCATCCCGTAAGCTTGCTTATGATTTTTTACAGGGTAAGAGACTTCATATAGCAGAAGATGGGCACCGGAGGGCCACCAGGGGGCCCACGAGGTAGGGGGCGTGCCTAGTAGGGGTGGGTGCGCCCCCCACTGTCCTGGCCAGGGTGTGGGCCCCCTTTGGTACTTCTTTCGCTCAATAATTCTTATTAATTCCAAAAATGACTTTCGTGGAGTTTCAGGACTTTTGGAGCTGTGCAGAATAGGTTTCCAATATTTGCCCCTTTTCCAGCCCAGAGTTCCAGTTGCCGGCATTCTCCCTTTTCATGGTAAACCTTGTAAAATAAGATAGAATAGCCATAAGTATTGTGACATAACATGTAATAACAGCCCATAATGCAATAAATATCGATGTAAAAGCATGATGCAAAATGGACATATCAATACTTCACCGAACCTACAGGGTCACACGCTTAAGGGTCATCTATGTGCTGAATACTAGACAGGGAGTCTGAGAGAAAGTCACCGGAAAAGTTTTGGAGACGATGGAAAATTTCCAGAGAGAAAACCGGAAAAGTTTCGGAGTTATAAGAAATGTTTCAAAGAGAAAAATCATCCTACCAGAAATGTTTCGGAACGCGTCCAGAATTATTTAAGTGGGTGCCAGAAATGTTCTGGACTTTCGGGAATTTTTTCGGATTAAACGGTTGCGAAAAAATATCTCATGGATAGTCTCATGAATAGTGGATGAAAATATTTGAGCGCATTTTGGTAATTTCATCTCATGAATACTGGATGAAATTATCTGAGGGAATTTTGGTAATTTCATCTCATGAATAGTGGATGAAAATATCTGAGGGCATTTTGGTAATTTCATCTCATGAATAGTGGATGAAAATATCTGAGGGCAATTTAGTATTTCCAATTGTCCTCTACCCCTTGGGCTTGGCCTATAAATAGAGGTGGAGAGATGCGCTCGATACTCACTCAAATCTCTCATACAAATGCCATGCATGATCTAGCATTCTCTCTCCCTCACACGAAATAGTTTCGTAGAGCTGAAAGAATGTTTGCGTTCCGATGGGAACTAGTTCTGTATGACGAAGCCCTGCCGGATAGCTGACACCGTATGTGTGCAACCCAGAGAGAGGTCGTAGTTTTGATCTTTTGCCTGAGGGGCTGTCTGAGGATCCGTCCGATGGGACTATCTGAGGGACTGTCCAGAGGCCTCCCAAAGGGTTGTCCGAGGATCCGTCCGGTGGGACTATCCAGAGGCCTCCCAAAGGGTTGTCCGTGGATCCATCCGGTGGGACTATCCAAGGGACTGTCCTGAGGCCTCCCGGAGGGCTGTCTGGAGATATGTCCGGTGAGCTGACGAGGGAGTACATCCTCTCGGTTGTGAGGTTGTAAAATCCTAGTTGCGAGGATCTACACCAACGATCTTCACTAACTCTACTTCCGCTGCGCTACGAGTTGGTAACGATTAGAAATCAAAACCCTTGTATGCATCTTCATAGTGGTCCTCGGCTGGTGCGTAGGTCCGAATTTTTTTTGTTTCCTACTGCGTTTCCCTGCATATGGACCCAACAGTTTGGATTGAAGTCTTCCTCATGCACATTGATATGGCTCGAGGAGATGAACTTAATACCGTCAAGTACATGCCTTTAAAGATCAAGGGACCGGCCCGACATTGGCTTAACAGCCTGGCCGAGAACTGGATTGGCAGTTGGGAAGACCTCGAAAATGCTTTTCGAACTAACTTCCAGGGGACTTACGCCCGACCTTCGGATCCCGACGACCTCGGTCATATTGTGTAAAGGCTAGGGGAGCTTGCTAGACAATTCCGGAATCGGTTCTTAGCTAAGAAAAATCAAATAGTGGACTACCTGGACGGGGAGGCAATTGCCGCTTTTAAGCATGGCATCCGCGACAAACGACTCACTCGAGACCTCGGGCAAGAAAGGCCTCGGTTAAAGGAGGCCCTCACTCGTTTAATGATCAAACAAAAAACATTCTTCTCTTAATTCTATTTGTGTTTGTAGTCCTTGATGCGTTGGAAAAACTAGGAATTATTATGTCTTTAATAATGTTGTTTGGTCTGACATCAAAAACAGGTGTGGTGGCTAATCCTAAAAACTCTGAAGAAATGACAAATCCAGTGCAAGGATGGTGGGTTCTTTTACCCAAATGCTCTCTGAAGTGATCAAAGCGCCACACAGCTTGATGGGGTGACTGACTCGAGACTAACACTAAAGGTGCAGGTCTCAGTCCAACGCTTCTTAACAAGCTCGCGTTTGTCAGATGCTATTGTATGCAACTTCAGCCTGGGCACCCTGTGTGCTTCTGTCTTCCCCTCCCCGGCATGATCATCGACGTGCTCTCGAGATGTCCACTCTTAGCCCTTGCATGTTGCTGAAACCTGTGCCATCGCCAACCTAGTCCCCGCTGAAGAAGATCAGTTCAGAAAGGAAGTTGCTTTTGAAGTTTCACTTGCTGAAGTGTTGTAGTTTGCATTTCGATGAGTTCAAGATGAGCTAGAAAATCCTGATGTATTTCCGAAAGTTCTCTTCTGCTCCCGAGCTCAAATGAGCTCGGGACGAACAGTTAAAGCAAAATGAAAAAAGGAAACAAAATTTAAAAAAATCTGAACTTTTTAACAAACTTTGACAAATGTTTTATTTGCTTGACAAATTTCATACGAAATGGCATTCGTGGAAGTCGTGGCAAAAAAACAAAATCAGCACTCTAAAATGCTCTGTCAAACCAAAGTGGAAACCCCCACCTACAGAATGGGTGCAGATTTGCGTTGACGCTGCTTTCTTGTGCAGTGGAGATGGTGGATGGGGGTGTATTGCTAGAGACAAGGGAGACGAAGTCGTTTTTACAGCTGCTGGTAGACTTGCATGTCTCACGGATGCCCTTCATGCAAAATCTTTGGCCATGATAAATGTTATCAGGCTTGTTGAAGAGTTTGGTATGGGCCGAGTTATTTTCATCACGGACTGCCTCTGGCTGAAGCTTGCGTTGGGATCGGTAACATGGGACCGTGGTCCTCTTGGCATCCTCTTTCAAGAAGCTAAGTTTAAGCTACAAATGCACTTCGTAGATTATAAAATTTATGTTTGTCTCATTTTGTAATATTCCTGCTCATCTACTAGCCGGTTATGGTTCGACGGCTATGATTAACAGCCAATGTATTTGGCTTACTAATCTTCGCCAATATGTAAGTGGTGTTGTAGCCCGTGATATTGCCGGACCCACAAATTAATTGAATGCATGATGTTTGGAGCATTGATTTTTCTCCCACGATTTCAAGAATGTCCTTTCATGCTAAATGTTTGCAACACACAAAACATTTGTATAAGTTTACCGCAAAAAAATCAGATTTTTTTTTGAATTTTTACTATTATTTTTTATTTACTGTTCATAAGAAAGTATTTGAGCTCGGGAGCAGATACTCCACTCTAAGTTTGAGAACCCCTGCTGCCTTCAGAAATGTTGAAGACCGTGCATTTAACTGTTTTTTCTATACATATTTTTAACACAGTTGATGTAACTGTTTGAGACCGTGGATTTGGTGGTTTCATCGTTTAATTGAACCTTATTCTTAAAAAAACGTTTAATTAAATCCGTGTGGCGTCCACCTGCACTCAATATTGCTACTCCCTTTGCGATATAAACGGTTTTATATTAGTTTACAAAGGGAGTACTTTGCTAAAGGAGGAAAATACTGACCGAAACGTGACGAAGCTTTAGCAAATACAAGGATCATATACTGAAAAAACATAAACAAAACGAAGAACAGCACACCGAAACAAACCGAACGATTCGAGCACCTCTCGTCTCGTGGAAGAAAAGGGAAAAATCAAAACATCCAATGCAAGGCAACATCCGCGATCGTCACATGCCACACCACGCGGCCGCCACGACGATGGCCACCATGCAGAGACCGCCGCCGAGGCCCCGCATCTCCCGGGGCGCCGCCGAGGACGGCGTGGCTGTATCGGCCTCCGGCGCGTCGGCCACCGCCACCGGCCCGGCCTTCTTCTTGTCCTTGTCCGCCGCCGGCGACGGCACGGGCGCGGGCACAGGCGGCCCGTAGAGCGCCCACGGAAGCAGCACCTTGTCCACCTGGTACACCACCAGCCTGTCGCCGGTGTAGAGCGTGCCGTCGACGGAGGCGTTGACGACGCCGGTGGAGATGTTCACCCTCCCGCCGCCGTCGGACGTGACGTTGAGCGGGTACTTGCCCCTGCCGGTGTCGCCGGCCTGCGTGCGCAGCGGGTTGCTCACCGTGTCGAACTGCGCCATGGGGAGCAGCTGGGAGACCACGTGGAACTGCACCAGCGACGTCTTTTGTTGGTCGGAGAGGGAATTGAGGGAGCCGGACTTGAGCGCGGTGAAGGCGTTGTCCGGCGGCGCGAAGACGGTGAGACCGGCGCCGGATGAGGCCTTGCCCTTGAGCTGGGTGTCGATCTGCTCCTCCTCCTGCGTCGACTGCAGCAGCTGGAGGAACTTGGTGAACTGCCCGGCCTTGGTCAGCACCGCCTTGATCGTCTTCGGGGCAGCCGCCGCTGGAGCCGGCGCGGCCGCCACCGCCTGGCCACGAACTGACGGAGCGGCTGCGGACAGGGAGAGGAGCACGAGGAGAAAGGTGGCCGTCATGGATCGCATATGCGCCTCCATTGCTTTGTGCTGCTTCTTCTTTGTGTGATGCTACTGTGTGCTTGGCTACGCTATATATGGTGGTGCAATTGAGATGTCATTAATGGAAGTGGGATCCGCAGGTTAGTTATGGAGATGCTGTACGCAAGGTGAGATGCAAGTAGATCGAGCCATCGAGGAATGGATGGAACATTAACAGGTGGATTGCCTAGATTGCGTCATGGGGCAGCTAAGTGCTGATTAATGAATGGGGTTTTGATTAATCCGTCTGCTAATCCTCGTTTGGATGTAATATTCATAATTCTCGGTCACTTAAAACTGCACATAGTGATATTAAAAGTGTGTAATTTGCAATTTCTATATCAATACTATCATAAACAACCCCGCAAAAAATACTATCATAAACAAATAAGGTTTGATACGTTTCATCTCGCTCTCTAATGCTGCGTTTGAAAGTCCGATGGATTGTCATAGATCCCATTTGCTCCATCTGTCTTTTCCTATTTCGGGCACCGGGTTGTGCAATTTACGCTACGGGAATGCAGGCGAACAAACGACATACGAAACATGACGAAAAGCATGCATACCCCCCAACAGGCTTCACCTCCTTAGCAACCGCGAACAGACGGAGTAAGTTTTAGTTAGTACTCCCTCTGTAAACTAATATAAGAACGTTTAGATTACTAAAATAGTGATCTAAACGCTCTTATATTAGTTTACGGAGGGAGTAGTATAATGTAATCAACGCATGGATAAGCGTGCAAGATTCAACCCTGAAAAAAAAGAACAGAAGCGTGCAAGATTCAAAATGAAGAGTTGGGATCTCGTCTTCTCGTGGATGTATAATTGAGATGAATCACTGAGGGGACATAACTACTGCTTATCTTGGGACAGTGATCGATCCATCGTTGGCTGGAAGATCGCACTCAGCCGTGCACCTCGAAGCTGTAAGGCAAGCAATTATCTCACGGCTCTCACGTGAGGGCATCCTTTGGGGCCGTGTGATCACATGCCATGGCCATCACCACATGAGTTCACCACCTTGCAGATGATGCTAACACCGGACCCAACAATCTGGGTCAGGAGGGTGGTGCATCCATCACCCATGCAAGGCATGAAGAAATTAGAAGCAAGCTACCCGATGAGCTCGGACGTAATATCACTGATTCCGAACACCCAACCATCCCGTTTGCTAGCAGAGGCGGAGCTGGCAAGAGAACAACCTCCTAACGGCCGGCTGCTCAATCATGAGAAGAAACTCGCATGTCAACAGAAAAAAAAAATGGACATCTTGCGAGTAGATAATTACTGGGGGCTTTGGATAACTAGCCGATAACTTGCTTAAAGATTCATACTTACATTGGGCACGATGTTTTGAGTTCATAAAACAATCCTAACTTTAGGACTTTAATTATTATTTACACAGCCAACTTGAGCAGCACAATGAGCAGATATAACTGAAATTCCTGAACTAGGATAAATGTGGAGGGGCGCACTACTTGGTCCCTCAGGTGGCTTCATTTGCGGCATCGGCTTTACAAACCGGGCAGGCGTTCTTCACCTCCAGCCACTTCTTGATGCAGCCCGCGTGGAAGTCATGCCCACATTTCAGTTTCCCAAGTGAGTCCTTGTGCTTGTATTCCTCCTACAGCCAGCGTATGCGGATGAGAACAAACTTACCAAACCAGGAATACAGTGCAACGAAATTGTTGGCAATTATGACACCACATAGGAGTGTCATCTTACCAGGCAAATTATGCATCTTTCCTTGTCTTGATCATTCTGTGTACGGGCAGAACTACGACAGGCTAGCTCCATCACGCAGCCTGAGATTTTTTCGTCAGCCAGGCCAGTGTTTACATTGCCAATTCGTTCTTCCAACGCCAGGAGCTCCTGTACATGACAATATCAAAAGTTTACATTTGTGCAACATTTTGATGCAGCTGTAGGCGATAAGAAGAGCCTAAACTATTTTTCTCCTTACCTCATAGCTCATGTCATCAATGTCCAGTCTCATGTCCCAGTGAGGATCTAATGCTTCTCTAGATTCGTGGATGACCAACTGGTCCAGCATCATAGAACGCTTCAAAGAGAGTGCAACTAAATTAGATGCAAGTTCAAAATGTATAGAATGTTGGAACAATTACAAGAACTAAACATATAACTACCTCAGCAGCCGATCTTCCTAGGTTATTCTCCTCAATCATCAAAGGATGAAAACAATGATAGGAATCCCTCATCCTTCTACTCCTTGCACTACCACCATGCCCTACAGAGACGTGCCTTGGCTGTCTAAAAGATGCTTCAGCATGTAATGGCTGGACACTTGATGCTGCAGCACTAGCAGGAGGATAGCTGGGCATGGCAGGTTGATAGTGAGGGTTAGCAGGCTCACACCGAACTGCTCCAGAGTTGGAAGAAGTTGTAAAAGCTGGCGGTGGATAATTGTGGCCAGCGTTATGATGAACTGGTCTAGGAGTGTATCCAATGCGTGCAAATGGTGCACCGTCAGAAGAACCAGGAAGTGTTGGCACAGGAGCACTTATGTTGGTGCTCTGTGGAGCAGGATAGAATGGCCTCTCTCTGAATGCTATGCCAGTGCTTCCATCTGTCCCTGGAGAATGATAAAAAAAAAGTTCTTAGCTTCTTTGATGACAATCTTTACTAGTGTCAAATTCAAAGAGAATGGGATATCACCAACCCATATTACAATTAAACTGGAATAGAGTAGATATTGACTGGTGAAAGTCCTATGCTTGAAACTAGTGGTATGACACAATATAGTCTGAGAACTGAGCAATAAGCTCAGTGGTGTGGGGCCACTGTGTGCGCTCTAAGCTTCCCTGGGTGTGATCCCTGTGGGATGAATAAACCAGTATTTCTCACCCCCCAGCTTAGGATACGCAGAGAAGGCTTTTCCTCCCTCGCGTCTATTTTTGTAAATGTTACTCCCTCTGTAAAGTAATATAACCGTCTTATATTACTTTACAGAGGGAGTATATCGGTATACAAAGAGCTATTCTGTCCAAACTTGCAAGATATGATCATTTCACCTGACTACCCAAAAGTCTGTACCAAATCTTAGCAGAAGTAGAACACTATGAAAACACATCAGATTAGAAGCACGGCTATAGGGCTTGAACAGCAGAAGTTGAAACTAACCTGGGGGAACAATTCTGGGAGGTAGAGATAAAGGAGCTCTTTCCCGCTGTACTGGTGCACTTCCAAAAGGAGCATTTGCATTTGGATGGTATGGTGGCACATGAAGACTGTTTGATGGGCAAGCTGTAGATGAATTATATTCCGAATGGATAGAACTATGATCATGGCGTCCCCTCACATTCCTCTGAGATCCTTCATGATTAACAAACTGATGATCGTTCCAGTGGCCGGAACCCATGTTTGAACTTATTTGTGGAGGGCAGGTTTCACGAGTAGGAACAGGATTCAGGGGCATGTAACCAGAGAACTGATTATTGGAAGAACTGCCAGGATAATAGGCTCCAGCACTGACACCATCCACAGGATGAGTGATGGGATTTCTCCGCTTCGGTGCAACCCTTCTGTCATCCACATGGACTCCAGGAATAAAACTATCCTCAGATCTACGTGGATAGCTTAAAGAAGGCACATGTTGAGTATTGTATGGTGCATAGCTGCTACTAGAGCTTCCAGCAGGAGGATAACCAGCATGGGAAGAATGCAAGGTTCCAGGGGCTCCAATCTGCTGACCATAAGACTGACCGGCGTAGCTTGAGGATGGAAGCTCATTAGATCTCACAGTTGTAACCCCATAACCTGATGGCCCCGCTCCATTAGGTGCATCACCTCTAGGATGCATAAATAACTTTTGACCTGAGATAAACAGGGTACAACTAAATGAGTTCACCAAAACTGAGATACATGAATAAAAAAGCAGTGTGCTAGTTAAGTCCATGTACCAAAAGGCGGAGGTTCATTACGTGGCTGGTTCGTACGATCCATTCTTGACATCTGGGAATTGTGATAATGATGCCCAGCCATGACTCATGTACAGTCTGACCAGATGTTTGCACAATCTGGAAATTTTGAGGCATAGTATTAGTACTTCAGTTAAACAAGTTGCAGCTGCAAATGGGATAACATTTACTCCCTCCGTTCCTAAACATAAGTCTTTGTAGAGATTCCACTATGGATAGTGGAATCTCTAGAAAGACCTATATTTAGGAACGGAGGGAGTATAAGTGAGTGCATGAAGCATCACAAATGCATAAACTTAAGGGACAAAATACAAGCATTTCAGACCTTAGAACTGTGGGAAGTGAGATTAGAGTCACACGGATCTGAGATAATCAAAGCCAAATGATTCATCAAATGGCAATGCAGTTACTTAATTGGACATTATAGCTCAGTACCATCACAGGGATCACTGAGTTGGAAAATACAATTCATATATCCAATATATAACTATTGACATGTCCTCAGATACCACATGGCATCCTTATACTAGACGATATTTTCCCATTTATATGGCCTTGAAACTGTACTGAGCTAATTTTCTCTATTCAATGTGGCTGAAAACATCAGAAGCCAAAGCAAAAGAACTCAAACTGCTGAGATGATAAAGCCAGAGCAAATTTTGACAACAAAATATGAATTGTGTTTTTAAACCAGAGAAAGCAATATCAATGGTTTTGCATACCAATCAGTTAAGGTACAGTTACTGCTCGAAAAACTGCACTGTTACTCAAGTTAAGTATCAGAGTATAATAACAGCCAAGGTCGTGGCAGCACCAGGGGCAAGAAAATCACAACAGACTACATGACTCGTGACTGGTTAAAACAATCTGAAGTTTCATTTTTTGAACTTTATATTAATAGCATCTGAATGATTGGCATGTTTTTAGAACTAATTTGCAGTATATCCATATGATGCTGATAATGCTGCTCCAGCTGCAGACTATCCATCTTACATATAATATTACATCTACAATCCATGTCAAAGTTCCACAAATAAATTTTACTTGCAGCCATGGTAGAAT